AAAAAACAAGAATTGTCTCAGCTCTTTTTTTTTTTTTTTTTTTTTTTTAATACGTGTATAAAAATCATTATGTCTATGGAATGCCCCCATAATGTGTGTGTGTGTGTGTGTGTTCATACATAAATTTTCATTTTTGAATGAACTATCCTTTGATATCATCAATGAATTGCTGACAAAAATGTTAATTGATTAAGGGTTTTCTGATTTATAAAGCAATAAAAAGGAAGAAAAATGTGCATTATGACAATAATTAAACAATTTTACTTAAAACATACTGTTGATGAAAATGTGATATTAAACATACACTATTTTTTTAAGAAGAAGAAAGGAGAAAATGTAGAAAGATTAGAATAAAATTTATTATTTCTATTATTTCTATATCTATGATTCATTATCCACCTAAATGTATGGATTAATAAAATTAATGAAAAATGACAATTTCATCATCATCATCATCATCCCAAAAAAAAAAAAGATGTCTTAAAACTTTGATTCAGTGTATCAACAGTGTCGTAGAGCTGCCAGCTATTGATTTTGACTTCAGTTAAAAAAAAACAGAACAGCATCTGACAGCAAAATAAACGGTTTTGCATATGGCTTGGAGTGGACAAATTAATTAAGTAAGTTAGAATGACTTATACTTTGTTTTCTTAGGTGAATGCTTCGAAAACTTGTGCAAGAATCAAACCACATTCCAACATGTGGCCTCATGTGTTTGCTTTTTCCTCCTCAGATATTGATGAGTGCCAGGTTCACAACGGAGGCTGCCAGCATAGGTGTGTGAACACCAGAGGCTCGTACTACTGCGAGTGCAACCCGGGCTTTCGTCTGCACATTGATGGCCGCACCTGCATAGGTGAGTCTTACAGGGGTCGAGAGAGGTCACTGACAGACTGGCCTGCATCCAAACGTTTAGAGAGTGTAATCATCACTGCCTAAGAAAAAGTTGCTTAGAACGGCTTTCTCTTCAAAGCTAGCAGGGGTCTCCACCTTGAGCTCTGTGTATGAGGGGGAATCAAAGAGCCTCTTGTTTTCTTAATAGTGGAATATTTGCTACTGTTCTGTACTGTACGGGTCTTGTCATGGTGAGTTTGTGATGGACCTTTGAGATAGACCAGACCAGGACCCTACTGTTCTCTTGCCAGGCCCACTATCAAACCATCACATCTATTCAAATGTGACTGTGGTGTAGAAGGTTTCAGGGGAAACCCAACAATTCAGTTTTCAAAGAAAAACCCTGTGGGAATAAACAGTTCTTGCAAGCATATCAATTTAGCTAATGGTGTTTGGATAGGGGTTTTGTTTTTCAAATATGTGGCAATAACAATGGATTTTGTATAGTACCATTCCAGAGCTCAGGAATTTCTTTATAGAAACTTTGAAAACATTTAACCGAGCATAGTAAATACAAATTACAATGAAGATTCCAGTCAAATACCTTTTTCAAAGCCAATGCCATGCCGCACAACGAGCCCTGTGCTTCATCTTCCATGCTGCTGGGATGCCACATGTCAGCTGAAAAAGACTTTTATTTGGAAATTATTTGGAAATGTTGTAGCTTTCTTTCCTTGTAATATGGTTATAATGTTGTGTTTTTCTGTGTGTGCTCTTGGGTTGAAAGTGGGACTCTCGGCTCTGAGATTTGCCAGTTTATTTCCAAACACCCAGTTTTATTTGTGTAAAGTGCATGACATTCCATCAGATTACTGAATAAAGGAATGTTTTGGGTAAATGGTACGTACATTCAGTAGCATCTGTGATATGCTCTTCATTACCATAGAATAGTTTGCTAAAAAAAAACAAAAAACAGAAAATGTAAGTTTATATATTATGATAGTATTTATTTCTATTTTTATATTAGCTTTAATTTTCTATTTTAAATTTTAATTTTAGTTTACGGTTTAGTAATTTTGTGATTTATATATTTTTTTATATTTCTATTTATATTTAATTAATTTTAATATTATTTTTAGTAATCTTAGTATTAATTATTTGAATTTATTTCAGTTAGTTGCCAGGCAATACTTTCTAAGTTTAAGTTTAACTTTTTTAAGTTTTTCATTTAATATTTATATTTGATTTGATTTCAGCGTTATTTCGATTTAGTTTTAACAATAAGAACACTGAAATACTGTTGTATTTACTAAAAAAAGTCAGAATTTTTATCAACTGCTTCAATCGTAATCAACTGCTTGTCAGATATTCTGATGATTGAGCTCAACTTGTATTAAACCTAGAACCTTCCTTTTAATTTCCAAGGCAGTTTGACATGGGAAAAAAAGCAAATTCCATTTGTATTCCAGATGCATTCTGGGATCCATTCACTTTGCTGAGAGTCTGATGCAGTAGCAGCATTGCCGTTCATTCTGCTTTAGCTGAATCAGCAGGATAGGGGTTTTGTTTTTCAAATATGTGGCAATAACAATGGATTTTGTATAGTACCATTCCAGAGCTCAGGAATTTCTTTATAGAAACTTTGAAAACATTTAACCGAGCATAGTAAATACAAATTACAATGAAGATTCCAGTCAAATACCTTTTTCAAAGCCAATGCCATGCCGCACAACGAGCCCTGTGCTTCATCTTCCATGCTGCTGGGATGCCACATGTCAGCTGAAAAAGACTTTTATTTGGAAATTATTTGGAAATGTTGTAGCTTTCTTTCCTTGTAATATGGTTATAATGTTGTGTTTTTCTGTGTGTGCTCTTGGGTTGAAAGTGGGACTCTCGGCTCTGAGATTTGCCAGTTTATTTCCAAACACCCAGTTTTATTTGTGTAAAGTGCATGACATTCCATCAGATTACTGAATAAAGGAATGTTTTGGGTAAATGGTACGTACATTCAGTAGCATCTGTGATATGCTCTTCATTACCATAGAATAGTTTGCTAAAAAAAAACAAAAAACAGAAAATGTAAGTTTATATATTATGATAGTATTTATTTCTATTTTTATATTAGCTTTAATTTTCTATTTTAAATTTTAATTTTAGTTTACGGTTTAGTAATTTTGTGATTTATATATTTTTTTATATTTCTATTTAGATTTAATTAATTTTAATATTATTTTTAGTAATCTTAGTATTAATTATTTGAATTTATTTCAGTTAGTTGCCAGGCAATACTTTCTAAGTTTAAGTTTAACTTTTTTAAGTTTTTCATTTAATATTTATATTTGATTTGATTTCAGCGTTATTTCAATTTAGTTTTAACAATAAGAACACTGAAATACTGTTGTATTTACTAAAAAAAGTCGTAAAAAGTAAAAAGTTTTTATCAACTGCTTCAATCGTAATCAACTGCTTGTCAGATATTCTGATGATTAAGCTCAACTTGTATTAAACCTAGAACCTTCCTTTTAATTTCCAAGGCAGTTTGACATGGGAAAAAAAGCAAATTCCATTTGTATTCCAGATGCATTCTGGGATCCATTCACTTTGCTGAGAGTCTGATGCAGTAGCAGCATTGCCGTTCATTCTGCTTTAGCTGAATCAGCAGTTAAATCATTTACTTTCCCAAGAGACCTAAAGAGTCCAGGGCTGTGAGCTCCAGTCAGGCTTCAGGCTCGTTTATCACTTTTTTTCCGCTATCAAACCAACTCTTCTATAGAACCACTATCTGAATCAAAGCTAAATGGGATGGAACACAGTACTAGAATGAACCAGAAACAGATGCCACTAATTAATCAATGAGGGTTTTATACAGGATCATTTGGTTTTGGTTAACAGTAATTTGAGAAGTTGGTAATCTTGTCGATATCTCATAAGCTCAACTTGTATTAAACCTAGAACCTTCCTTTTAATTTCCAAGGCAGTTTGACATGGGAAAAAAGCAAATTCCATTTGTATTCCAGATGCATTCTGGGATCTATTCACTTTGCTGAGAGTCTGATGCAGTAGCAGCATTGCCGTTCATTCTGCTTTAGCTGAATCAGCAGCTAAATCATTTACTTTCCCAAGGGACCTAAAGATTCCAGGGCTGTGAGCTCCAGTCAGGCTTCAGGCTCGTTTATCACTTTTTTTCCGCTATCAAACCAACTCTTCTATAGAACCACTATCTGAATCAAAGCTAAATGGGATGGAACACAGTACTAGAATGAACCAGAAACAGATGCCACTAATTAATCAATGAGGGTTTTATACAGGATCATTTGGTTTTGGTTAACAGTAATTTGAGAAGTTGGTAATCTTGTCGATATCTCATGCCAGAAGCTTATTAAGTTGTGAATTATGACTGACAGATAAACCCTTAATTATTTTAAATTCACTCAAGGATTTTCTGCCAAAAGTAATACTATCATTATCCTTTATTAGACACACTCTCATAACCAAAATGTAAAGATTTTTCATTTTTTCAACCACTTTCCCACTACACCACTTCAAAAAAATGATCCTGTTTCAACAAATTATCACTTTTATTTGATCAATGATTTGAAAAGAGAGACAGTTGTCTGATTATATAGGATTTTATATGACATTTTCAAATATGTTTTGGATAGTGTGCAATATTATATGGAAGGATTTTTGAGGACAGACGGCTCACTCCACCACATTGAGGAAGACGATATGCCTGTTATGACAGTATATATTTAGTCTCACTGCTGAAATATAGTCTGTTCATTGAAGACATGTGATAGCAAGTGTCTTCAGTGGCTTAAGATTTGTGGTTTGGAGTATTATCCTCCTTGTGATGGTGAGACATTTTAATGGTGATCACATATATACTGTAAGTGCGATTGTGACTGTCATTACATTTGATTTATTTTTTTATTTTTTCATGTGTCAGTTAGGCGCATGCTTGTCTGAAATATATTATTCCAAAATGATAGACTAGTGTGGATTTTTTTTTTTCAAATAAATATTCAGCAGTTTCTGCTGAAGGTTATACAGAAAACACTGGAAAATAGTTAAAATGTGTATAGACTGTGATTAGAATGTCTTTAAATCTAAAAGTAATAAGTACTTTAACATGTCATAGACATACTGTTCAAAGGTTTGGGATCAAGATTTACAGAACATGATACATTTTAACTTTTTAGTTTTGTGTGTGTTCAGATGAGAAATAGTTCCTTTCCTAAAACTAACACAATTTTTTCACTTCAAAGCTTACTTCATGAATAATTTCCTTGCTAAATAAATAATATGTACTACCATTCAAAGTTTGGGGTCAGTAAGTTGTTGTTGTTTTTTCCCAGAAAAAAATGCATTAAATTGATAAAAATAAAAGACATTTATAATGTTACAAAAGTTTGCTATTTCAAATAAATATTTTTTATTAATCAAAAAAAAAAAAAAAAAATTTCTTGCAGAATATTAACAAAAAAAATAATGCAAAAAAATTAAGCAGCACAACAGTTTTCAACATTGATAATAATGACAAATGTTTATTAAGCATAAAGAATGATTTCTGAAGGATCATGTAACACTGAAGACTGGAGAAAATTCAACTTCTCAGGAATAAACTACATTTTACATTTGTAATAAAACAAGCTTGGGAATAATTTCCTTGCTAAATAAATAATATGTACTACCATTCAAAATTTGGGGTCAGTAAGTTGCTGTTGTTTTTTCCCAGAAAAAAATGCATTAAATTGATTAAAATAAAAGACATTTATAATGTTACAAAAGTTTGCTATTTCAAATAAATATTCAAAAAAAAAACAAAAAAAAAACAAATATTCTTGCAGAATATTAACAAAAAAAATCATGCAAAAATATTAAGCAGCACAACAGTTTTCAACATTGATAATAATGACAAATGTTTATTAAGCATAAAGAATGATTTCTGAAGGATCATGTAACACTGAAGACTGGAGAAAATTCAACTTCTCAGGAATAAACTACATTTTACATTTGTAATAAAACAAGCTTGGTGAGCATAAGAGACTTTCAAAAACCTTAAAAAATGTAAGTATCTAAATAATCTGGGTACTAAGCCTAACCTAAGGACAGTAATTTAGAAAACAAAGCAAAACATGCAGTTCTTCTCCTGGATATGTTTTACTTTACTAAGTGCCTCAAATAAAACTCTTTCAAAGATTTGATGCTACTAATCTTGCAAAATTTGAAAAATAAAGTGATTATTTGATCCTCAAAAGCACTTACTGTATTAATGGCAGTACAACAGCAGACTTATAGAGAAAGCCTCTGTGAAGACTGTCATTTTTGGGTGCAACATACATCAAATGGCCAGTGAATTGAGACTACATTAACTGTATGTGTTTATCTGTAGCTCAGCTGTAACATTTGTCTGACCCTGTTTGATGAAAGAGGTGAGTGAACATTCAGGAAAAGGGTGGAGAAGACAGACTGAAAGGCCACTGACATTAGGACATCATCCGCCTCCCGCTGAATCATTAGAAACAAGATAATGAAAGAGTGAATGCACCAGTCTTTAGTCTGAAATCTTGCACATTTTAGGATTTACTCCAAAGGCGTCTTTGCTAGGCATTCATGATCTAAGATTAAAAAGTACAGGTTACTGGTCGTTCAGAGTGTTTTCAGTCATCCACGCTGACCGATCTCTTATCACCACACCAGATAGCTTTTAAATAGTGCATAACAAAGCTAATTAGTGGTATTTTACTGAATATTATGATTGGTTTCTGTCCTGAGATGACTATCCTTTTTTGAAAATGGCAACATCGCCAAGCATCACAATCCAAACACTTGAGTAGGATGAGAAACTGCTTGTTTTTCCATCAAAGCTTCATATCAGTCATCTGAGAAAAAATGGTCCGTTTGCAGTGAACTGTTTTCACTAAATGATTCAGCTTCTGAAAATAATTGCTTGGTACTATTTTGGATGATTAGTGAAGAATGCTTTTGACAGGACCGTTCAATGATTGTTCCACATTCTCTTCTATTACTAGAGAAAATATTTATTTAAAGAGTGGACATTGAAATCTTCTAATAAAATCCACAAATTTTAATAAAAGTGGATAATAAAATCTACATGCTTTCATCGAAATAGCAGTTTTTTTTAAATGTAAAAGCTAAAAATTGATTCATATCAGACCTTGATATTATATTTAGCATGTTACAGCATTGCATAAAAGCAAGCAAATTGCACATCATGTTCAAAGTTTAATTGTCAAGTCAAATTATGTAATTAACCCTGAATAAATTCAGCTGTGGTGGCAGCATCATGTTATGGGCTGCTTGTCTTTAGCATGGCCAGGTGCTCGGTTATGACATAAGGAACGTCTCGGTTACGTATGGTAACCCTCGTTCCCTGAAGGAGGGAACGGAGACGTCACGTCGTGACCGACGAATTGGGATATCGCTTCGATAGACCAATCTACTTCGAGTGTAAACTAAACGAGCCAATGCACATTGGCATGCAATTATTGCATCCAGCTGCCGCTGATCACAGCGTGAGTGAGATGACTATCCTTTTTTGAAAATGGCAACATCGCCAAGCATCACAATCCAAACACTTGAGTAGGATGAGAAACTGCTTGTTTTTCCATCAAAGCTTCATATCAGTCATCTGAGAAAAAATGGTCCGTTTGCAGTGAACTGTTTTCACTAAATGATTCAGCTTCTGAAAATAATTGCTTGGTACTATTTTGGATGATTAGTGAAGAATGCTTTTGACAGGACCGTTCAATGATTGTTCCACATTCTCTTCTATTACTAGAGAAAATATTTATTTAAAGAGTGGACATTGAAATCTTCTAATAAAATCCACAAATTTTAATAAAAGTGGATAATAAAATCTACATGCTTTCATCGAAATAGCAGTTTTTTTTAATGTAAAAGCTAAAAATTTATTCATATCAGACCTTGATATTATATTCAGCATGTTACAGCATTGCATAAAAGCAAGCAAATTGCACATCATGTTCAAAGTTTAACTGTCAAGTCAAATTATGTAATTAACCCTGAATAAATTCAGCTGTGGTGGCAGCATCATGTTATGGGCTGCTTGTCTTTAGCATGGCCAGATAAATTAGGGTTAAAATAAATATAAACATGTTTTTGTTCAAAATGACTGCCTTCTGCCAGAAAGTTGAATAACGATACAGCAAATAACCAAATCCCACAGTCTGCTAAAATAGAAAATGTTTTAAAAAAGAAAGATCAGTATCCTGGAATGGCGTCGGTGTCAGTGGACAGGTTTCAGATCTGTAACAAATCTGTTTGTTAACTGACCCACACCGTACTGTGCACTGGAAGTGTTCTTGCAATTTGAACTTTTCCGCAAGAAAAATGGTAAAATCCAGATGTGCTGCATTAACAGAGTCCAATATAAACAGAATTACTGATGTAATTAAAGCCAAAGGTGCTACCACAAAGTATTATATAAAGTGAGTGCTCTCTTGTGCAAACGAAGTACTGACAGTTTTTAATTATTTTCTTCCAAGAATAATACATTTCTTTTTCAGTTTAATGTCTTATGCTGCAAGGTCTTATTAAAGTGTAAAAATGGCTGACAGGATTTGTTTGAATTTTAATGCATAGAATTTCATTCATTATCTGTGTAAAAGACAAATTAAAGAGATAATGGTATTTTTAAATAAATATATTTATATTATATTATAAATATATTATAGTTTTTATTTATGTTTACTATTATTATTATATGTGTGTACATTACACACACACACACATAAATATATGTATATATATATATATATATATATATTTCTATCATGAGAACTCTCTGAAGATTTTAGCATGGTAATGGATATGACAATGTTAATGTATTTGGTCTTGGCGGAGTAGATCTGCTACGCTGCTGCTGCTGCGGCAGAGCAAGAACCGAGGCTTGCAACTGCCGATACATCCACAGACATGCTGCTGTGATCATGTAGGAAATACTGTTGCTGCACATGTAACATATACAGTATGAAATAACCCTCGTGTATAACATACATGAAGCCACACTGTAAGCAGATCAATACAGGTGGAGCTGGGGAAGGTGGAGGGTTTCTGAAGCATGCTGCAACATCTTAACGGTCGTTTCTCTTTTTCCTTATTCCTCCCACAGCTGTCCTATCCTGTGCAGTGAATAATGGAGGCTGTGAGCATGAATGTGGCCAACTTTCTCCAGTTCACTTCCAGTGCCGCTGCAGACGTGGGTACCTGCTCACAGCTGATGGCAAGCGCTGTAGACGTGAGTTTTGCTCTTCATGTATATAATTTTGACATCTAACAGTGGCTTGACTTAGTGGTGCTCAATTTTGTTGAAAAATCGATCAAAATTAACATCAGATGATGCTTTATTTTTACTGTTTCAAACAGTACCATGTTCAACTTACTATAACAGTTGTTTTACTAGATAGCCTCATGTTTTGTACAGTAATCCTAATATAAGACTTTACTAAAGTAATCAGAACTCAAATATCATATGTTTTGGATCCTAGTCCAGCACCAGACCAGTCTGGACCAGTATGGAAATTCATGTTTGTCAACGTGGTCATTTCAGCAGGGTGTAGAAGCAGTTATTTTTGTTGCTTATTTAAACTCTTTACTTTCTGAAGTTTTGTTATGTTCATGATGCCATCCATAAAATGTCCCGGCAGTGCATATCACATGCTGTTAGTCAAAGAGCATGCTGACAAGAGGATGAAAGTAGGAAAAGCTTTGGTCTAAGGCTATGTCATAAAGTCAGTATGTAGCTCTTGGACGTATGGATGGAAGGGTTCTTGGCAGAAAGGTGGAAGCTAAAGAAAGTGATCAACATCTCTAAAACCCAGATGTGCTGTTTTCTCAGAGATATTGGCAACTGCCTTGGATACTTTGACTTGGTATCTGTATCAGTCCTGAATCAAGTCATATGAAGTTGGACTAGTGTATCACAACCATGCAAACGTTGAGTTACAAATTACAAACTTTAGACTGAATTTGTATACTTTCAAAAAGTGGTACAGCTCAAGAGCAGTTACTAACCTAAATAACGGGGTCAAGGATTCCAATAACTATGAACTTGAAAACAGACCTCACTTAGTGCAGTGTGAGTCACTTGAACAGCAATATCTGAAACTGCTGTGCATTTTGGCCTGCTTTAAATAGCAGTTTTCACTGAGAAACACTTATATTATTCAGACTACAGCATCATCATCTTGGCGAATACTGTGCCAATTCCAGTGTGTCTGCCAAAATTCATATTCACTGTACACAGCCCCACAGATCCAATTTCCTGACACTCGCCAGAGCCAATTGTTCCCCTATGAAGTGTTACCACTGGGAGTTAGGTGAAGACAAGGGGAAAGAACAAGGGACAGAGAGAATGTGTATGTTATTGTGTAACTAGTAGCTGTTTGACATTGACAAAAAACATGCTAGCATCTGTGTTCATGAGAGAGCGGTGGACAGTGCAATTCAGCAAATGGATAACATTGTTTAACGGTTTTCATACTGTTGTGATCAAAGTACAGATGAGTCTTGGGACAAAAGTTTTTGTACTAGTTTAATACTTAGACAATCCTTACAAAAACAACTATGGTTGTGCAGTGCTACAGCGAAGGTATCTGATGGTAAAACCATGGTACATTGATTTGTACCATGGTCAAAGATGAACTGGAACAAAAAAAAAAAACAGATTGAAACTCATATCATATTTATATATCATAAACATCATATGCTCTATTACATATTCAAGAAATATCACACTCAGTTGTTCTCAATATCAATCAACACTATACCTTTAATCCACCTTATTTTTAATGTGAGAGTGAGGTAGGCCATTTTTAACTTGAATGTGCAAGGCTGTCACCCGCTCAATTGATTTATCTGTACAAAATGTATCTGTTTGTTTGTCCTCTCAGTAGGCAATTTGGATATGACTACTGATATTCAGACAAACAGCACGATTGTGATACTGCTTTTATAAAACAGTTAAATAAACAAGAAGTTAATATTGAGTAACTTCAATTTAATTTTGCTCAACATGAAGTCAAAGCAGAATTAAAGGTTATGTGTCTCAGGACAACACACAGTAGTGACGTTGGTAAGTGAATCTGCGATTTTGAACAAATCGCTTGGATGAATGATTCAATGACTCGCTCATAAAGGCACTAGCTGCATCCAAAATAACATTCTGTCATTCGCACTTACTTTGCGAATGACAGAAATGTCTGTGCTGTGTAGTTTAAATCCAGGCGTTCTACATTTATGTCTTATGAATAAAATGAATTCGACATACTACTCTTTTCACATACTGTTTTTCACCTACTATATAGTAGAAAAGTAGGCAGATTAACACAGTCGGAGCCATTTGTTCAATTTCTTAATAAATTAGTGCCAGATGAATCGGTTGAACCAATGAATCAATGATTCACTCATATAGACAGTCACTTGTTGCCACCTACTGGCGTAATATGTAATATGCAGAAAGAATCGCTGTAAAATCCCCACCACTGGAACACACAAAAACAGTGAAACAGTGAAAAGTATATAAACAATGAATATCATATTCATAGTGTTTATATGGTGCACCAAGGTAGTATTTCTAAAAGACATCAAATTACCACGTTTTTTAAATACTTAGTTCATGTATAGTTTTCTTTGGTTTTGAACGGATCATATTACCCCGATTTGCTCACCCAAATCTATAAAAATGTGTTGAAAGGTAAGTTATGGCTGGTATAAACCTGACATTTTTTTGTTGGTCTCTGATGCAGTATATCACGCCATATGTTAAAAACACTTTTTTCTTTTCTTATTTATTCTGGATAAAATCTGTCCTCCAAAGGGGTCTCAAAATCGCATTGTTATATGTATGATGTGTTTTATGTCATAACGTGACTAAGGCAACAGAGCTGGCCAGGGAAGTATGGGAATTCACATAGAGAAAGACTGCAAAAATTATGTATGTGTATTACATGGACGGAGTTGTTGACAAGAGTTTGTGTGCGTGAGGGAGACAGCCACTGAAATGACTTATAAGATCTGACTTAAACGGCATGTGTTTCAGTGAGGAACCCATGTGCGGAGAGGAACGGCGGCTGTGTGCACTTATGTCGCAGTGATGGCGGTCATGCTGTGTGCAGCTGTCACCAAGGCTTCACGCTGGCCCAGGACCAGAAGAGCTGTGAAGGTAAAAGCTTCTGACAGCAGCAGTGAAGGGCTTTTCCACCACGCTAGGGTTCAGTTACACTGTCATGGAAAGTATTAAATGGTCTCTCATCTGCTGAATCCTCTTTTTCCGAAGTTTCTTTCCCATGGTGTGAGAACAGTGGAAGCACTGTGTTTGATTAGATGTCTGAAAGCTGTAGAACATGGTTCATCTTCTCAGTGAGACAGTGAGCAGAGATTTCCACTCTGAAGTCCATGATGGAACCAGTTAGTGCTTGAGAGGTTACACTCATTGATTTTCTTTTAAGTGATTGTAAGAGGCAGAAATTTATGTTTGTCCAACTGAAAGTGACTCAACAAATCCAGAGTGGGATTCTCATCGAATTAGATGGTATCTGTATAAATAGAAAAGGCAACATGTCATCAGTAACTTGTAATTGGTGTGTTTCAGATGTCGATGAGTGTGAAACGGGATTGGCAGCTTGTGCTCACAGTTGCCGAAACACTCCGGGCTCTTTCTCATGCGTCTGCAATCCGGGATACGAGCTGGGCTCTGATGGCAGGAAATGCTACCGTGAGTTACCTTTCACTTAATTAACTTCTAAGCACAGTTCGGAAAAGCACAGAAACATACCCCAATGGTCTCAATAAGTAGTGATTGGTGGGTTAAGTGTGAAGTATTGATACTTTTAATAATGATATTGTATCAAGAGAATTGATCATTCTAGTGGATAAGCAAGTGATAACTATAGTGATTTAACTACACTACCGTTCAAAAGTTTGGGGTTGGTAAGTTTAATGCTTTAATATTTTTGAAAGAACTCTTATGCTTACCAAGGCTGCATTTATTTGATCCAAAATGCAATAAAACATAATATTGTGAAATATTATATATTTTAAAGTGTAATTTATTCCTGTGATGGCAAAGCTGAATTTTCAGCATCATTACTCCAGTCTTCAGTGTTACATGATCTTTCAGAAATCATTCTAAGATGCTGATTTGAGAAACATTTCTTCTTATCAATGTAAATATCAATATTTTATGCAAACAGTGATACATTTTATTGTTAGGATTCTTAATATGTAGAAAGAAGAATAAAAAAGAACAGCATTAATCTAAAATGGAAATCATTTGTAACATTAGAAATGTCTTTTTGTAGCATTATAAATGTCATTTGTAACATTGTAAAGGTCACTTAATGCATCCTTGCTGAATAATAGCGTTTTTACTGACCCCAAACATTTGAATGGTAGTGTATATTTTATTTTTTTAGCAAGAAAATAATGAATAAGTGACAAAAAATTAACTGTATTAGTGAATAGTTTTACCATAGGAACTATTTCTCATCTGAACATGCAAAAAACTTCTGAAAGACAAGCTTAGAAGTTAAAATTCATCATGGTTTGTAATTAACTATGAACTTGATCCACTAACATCTGCCTGATTGATCAATGGATAATGAACAGTCAGCTGGTCATTATTGCCAAATAAACCCTGAGTGGGTGATCAGGTGTTCACTCAGGTGTTCATCAATCAGGAGGAAGTTTATTTTACAATAATGACTGACTGACTGTACTGTACATTATCAACATATTTTATGGGAACTTGACAAGTAAATAAATGGACATGAATTTAGCTTAGTTTATAGGAGAAAACCTTGAACCTAGAACATTGTAGAAGATTGTTGTAAAAACTGAAAATGAAAAAAAAACAAAACAGTTTACTGGTAGTATTGGTATCAATATCCGCGATATTGGCCTTGCACTTGATATGGAATTATTAACTACAATGAACATGATCCATTAACATTTGACAACCAGAAAGTGTCCAACTTCAAAACCTAACAAATTTTGAAATAAATTACACATAGTTGGCTTTTTTATTATCTAATGCAATGACATTCATGCTATGTTCATAATCATTTTTGAACAATTGTTTCTTTATATTATTATCTCTCTGTAGGTATTGAAATGGAGATTGTTAATAGTTGCGACTCAGATAATGGTGGCTGTTCACACCACTGTCAGCACGGCACGCTTGGACCCGTCTGCAGCTGTAACCAGGGTTATCAGCTCGCGGAGGACCACAAAACCTGTTTGGGTGAGTGTGCAGGTGTACATAAATTAGTTTTACAAAATAACTCCAATGAAATCCATCTCTTGGATTCAGCGTGCATCCAGCTGCACTGATACACCTTTAAAATCATCATTCCTCAAACAATATTAATGACTATTTCCTGCAAAAGCAAATGTCAGCCAGCTGGATCTCAGCAGTTTTAGGTCTTGTGTTTTTCTGGCTGTGCCTTGAAGGTTCTCTCCAAATAACGAGCCCTCTTCATAGCTGGAAATGTGCTTATGTAAATACTCAGTCTACAGAGTCCTAATAGACACCGATGGCTCGTGGCCTTCCTGTACTGCTTTGTTTGTTTAAGATCTGGAAGAATGTGAGGAGGTAACTTCATGCTGTGAGCAAAACTGCACAAACCACCCCGGAGGTTATGAGTGCTACTGCAGGGCAGGATACAGACTCAACACTGACGGATGTGGATGTGATGGTACTTCACAACCTGTTTACTGCTGATCGACTATTAAAGAAGAGCGAGGAGACATATCAGTTACTGTCAATGTGCTATAATAATAAACAGTGCTAGTTACATCACAGTGCAGTCACATTGTATAAAGAGTGTTGTGTTTTCCACTGGTGTCTAGATGTGGATGAGTGTCTGTCTGATAATGGGGGCTGTGAGCACACTTGTCAGAACACAGCTGGCTCCTATCACTGCTTCTGTGAGTTTGGAAACCGGCTCGCTGAGGATAGACACTCCTGTATTCGTAAGTATACCATGTGGGGCACAGTGGATATCAGTTACTTGATCCTGATTGGTCAATCACAACATTCTGTGGTCAGATCTGTAATGAATAATGTGCTATACAGCCATCTGGCCATTGTTGAAAAATAAACCCTATGTGTTGCATCACTTATCATCATGACGGGGTTTGTTTTGCGATAATGGTCATGTTATCGTTATCGTTTTGCGATTTTATTTTATGAAGAGAATGAGACTTTTAAAGCACAGTATAGGAAATGGGTTGGCAGGGAAACATATAAACTGTTTATAAATACTTAAATAAATAGTTTAGGGGCCATCGTACAAAAATACTTGACCTCAGAATGCCAACCTATCAGAGTTGAGTATTCCAGACCACTATGTACGGTAATAATTTTGTGAAGTAAATGCTAAACTGTGTTATTAACTTTCTATATAGTTCTGAAATGATTTCCTACAGTACATAGCCTTTTTTTCACATAATGAAATAATCCGGGTTTTTTTATTTTTTATTTGAATTATTCAATTATTGATTTAGTTATATAGGTATATGGTAATGAGTATGTAAATCCGATTGGCTGGAAACATTGAATTGAATGAACCAATTAGAATGCAAGTAAAAGCACAGTATAGGAAATGGGTTGACAGGGAAACATATAAACTGTTTATAAATACTTAAATAAATAGTTTAGGGGCCATCGTACAAAAATACTTGACCTCAGAATGCCAACCTATCAGAGTTGAGTATTCCAGACCACTATGTACGGTAATAATTTTGTGAAGTAAATGCTAAACTGTGTTATTAACTTTCTATATAGTTCTGAAATGATTTCCTACAGTACATAGCCTTTTTTTCACATAATGAAATAATCCGGGTTTTTTTATTTTTTATTTGAATTATTCAATTATTGATTTAGTTATATAGGTATATGGTAATGAGTATGTAAATCCGATTGGCTGGAAACATTGAATTGAATGAACCAATTAGAATGCAAGTAGAGTTTCATGGCTGAACTATTCATTGATTACACTAACATTAAAAAAAGATTGGGGTTTGGTAAGTTTAATGTTTTTGAAAGAACTCTTATGCTTACCAAGGCAGCCTTTATTTGATAAAAAATATACCTATATACAGTATGTATATAGTTAATATTGTTGTATGGGCCCTGGGAAAACTAGCAACCACTTTGTGAAAGCTAATGGGCATCTGAATAAAGAATGTGCATTTGGTATTTGATAATTATCTGTCCAATGAGCAGGATATTGTCCAGCCAGCTGATAAACATATTCAGTGTGATACTACATCTAATCATCTTGTCAAGGCTTATTTTGCAATAATAAGACATTATTACTTACATAGTTGGTGTAACAGCAAGACAACATTGATCATGTCAATATATCTACTTCTCTCTCTCTGTTCTATGTAGCCCTGGAGAGAGCGGTTGAGGAATTGTCCAGTCCAACGGTGGTTGAGAGACCTCTCCTTCAACTCACTCTCCTGCAGGACTACCCACAACCCCTGGAGCGTTATCACGACTATGAGGATGATGGCTTTGGAGAGCTGCGAGCAGATAGCACCCTCTCTGAGAAATTTGGTCTGTTGTTAAGTCAGGGGCCATCGTACAAAAATACTTGACCTCAGAATGCCAACCTATCAGAGTTGAGTATTCCAGACCACTATGTACGGTAATAATTTTGTGAAGTAAATGCTAAACTGTGTCATTAACTTTCTATATAGTTCTGAAATGATTTCCTACAGTACATAGCCTTTTTTTCACATAATGAAATAATCCGTTTTTTTTATTTTTATTTGAATTATTCAATTATTGTTTTAGTTATATAGGTATATGGTAATGAGTATGTAAATCCGATTGGCTGGAAACATTGAATTGAATGAACAAGAAACATATTTTATTATTATCAATGTTGAAAACAGTTGTGCAGCTTTAATACTTTTGTGGAAACTGTGATACTTTTGAACAGTAGGCCTATACTTAACTACTCTGTATAAAATAATTATTTTGTCCATTTTAGCCTGTCCAGAGGGAACATTTGGGAGAAACTGTTCCTTCACTTGTAAGTGCAAAAACGGTGGCACCTGTGACCCGATTAGCGGGAAGTGCTGCTGCCCACCTGGAGTGAGTGGAGACCTGTGCCAGGATGGTGAGTGACTGCGAGATTACAACATAAAATAAAACCATATCTGCTGTTCCAAACAGTGCAGGCATGTTTAGATGAAATATGACTTGTGCTTTATGTCTCAAATTACGTTCATACGATTTTCGATCAAGTTAATCTTTCATTTAAAGCTAGAGTGTGTAATTTTTTATTCTGTGTTCAGGCTGTCCGAAGGGACTATATGGAAAACACTGCAACAAGAAATGTAACTGTGCTAATAACGGACGCTGCCATCGCACATATGGAGGCTGCCTGTGTGATCCAGGGCTCTACGGCAGGTTTTGTCACCTACGTAAGTCCAGCAGTATATCAGACCGACAGTGACTTAAAACTCCAGGAGATACTCGCACAGTGTGATTTACCCAAGTAGGACATGTTCCTGGATCAACACCCTTTTTTGGACTTTCACAACATTCCTATGAAGCAACCAAAGCCCTAATCCTATTCCAAACCATAACCATAAAATCAAAGGGAAAATATATTTTGGGGTCCAAATGTCTGAGACCACTAACAAAAATGCTTCTATTTTGCTTTTTTTAGATAGTTTAATAATATTTTTTCAGTAATTTAATACAAGTTTGTGTAAAACCTGATGCTCATGTTCTCCAGCATGATTTGAGATGCAAAGAGCATCTTCAGCTTCAGTGGATGAAAGAAAATCTGATTGCTGTAAAAAAAAAAGATTGCTTGTTAGATTACTGACTGTCATATGGCAAATTTTTAAAACTCCTAAAATGTTAACACTTTACAATAAGGTCCCATTAGTTCATGTTATTAACTAAAATTAAGTAACAGTGAGCAATACATTTGTTGCAGTATTTATTAATCTTTGTTAGAGATGGTTAATAAACATACAGCTGTTCATGTTAGCTCAGGTCCTTTAAATAATGTTTACAAATTCATCTAATAAATGTTTTAGAATTATTTTTCATTGTTAGTTCATGTTAACAAATGGAACCTTATTATAAAGTGTTACCCCTTAAACTTAATTTTAGGGTTTAAATTACGTTCTCAGATTTTCAATGTGATTTAAACCTGAACTTAATATCTGATTCATTGATATATTGATTCAGTGGATTGTTGTTCCAGAACTAACAAAGATGTTGATCCAGGCACATGTCATATTTGGATTAATCATTTTATCTTTTTAACATCTGATGGTTCTCCTGGTTGTAACAGAATATCCCACACAATGTCTTTTCCAGCTTGCCCCAAGTGGTCGTATGGATCTGGCTGCTCATCGGAGTGTCATTGTGTGCAGCAGAACACGCTTGAATGCCATCGACGTCATGGAACGTGTGTGTGCAAGCCTGGCTATCAGGGCAAGACCTGCAACCTGGGTCAGTTCAGGGAGTACCATTCACTTGATTGACAGCTTGTCTGTGGCAAGTATGTTTTATCTGTTGTTCTTTGTTTTTTAGAGTGTGATAGTGGATACTATGGTCCAGGATGTAAATCAAAATGCCAGTGTCCAGCAGGAGTGTCTTGTCATCACATGACTGGACAATGTCAGCGTCAGTGCCCAGCCGGTCTGTATGGGGATCACTGTGACCGAGGTGAGTTAAAATAATTCAATAGCTGAAATGCAGTGGTATTCGCAATACACGGTGCTAGAAGAGCTTCCATAAAAGTAGATTTATGGCTATCTCTGAGAGTCGTTGTAAGTTTCGCTGACTAGCATTTGACAGGATAAATAAGATTAGCGGGCCAGGCCAAATATAGCTGCCAAACACTGGAATACATGATGGAAATACCTTTATCTCCTGGCTTGCCGATTAAATGTGTTCCCTTAACACAGATATGATCCTGTATTTCACTCAACTGAAAATCTAGAGTAAATATTGAAGCCCAACATGTTACAAAACAGATTTTAAAGGGGAAATGTCTTGAATAACAGGAATTTTTTGGTCTTTGATTAACTTTGTGGAGGTTGCAGGTCAGTTCTGAGATGGTCAGCAGGGAAAAATAATGCTTAATCCACATAATTAAATGCTAAAACACAGAAATTACCTTCACCCTGGTTCCCTTGACAGAAACCCAACAAGATTTTTCCTATGGCTTATGGATTATTGCAGAAAATAAGCTCTGTGGCCAACAAAGGTTTATGATTCTTACACGTTTTGTTCATCATGATGATCTTCACAAATGAACACAACTTTTATGAACTTTGAAGCAATCTCCAGAAGTAAAATGCTAAACGTAGGCTATAAACTAACAACACCACGGCCGCATGACTTCAGCGTCAACATCACTAAACTTCCGACAACTCTTTCAGCCTTTATTTAAAATACATTTTCCCTGAAAGTTCGAATTAGAGTGTGGTTATAAATACAATGAGGCTGTAAAAGCGGACTAGTGAGTAGATTAATTTTCCTGTTTGGCTTGATAAAGTTTAATGTCGCCAACAATATCTGTAGCCCTATTTAGCCACATGTTAGCAATACCTTTTAGCAAAAGCTTTTAGAAAATCACAAGGGGATATTACTAGTGTATTTTATGTTGTAGAATAAAATGTGACAATGTCTTGAGTTTATTTTAAGATGAGTTTATTTTTAGAATTTAACCAAAAATCCCTGAAATGAACAAAATGCTAACCATCTTGTAAAACTGAACTGCAAAAATGTGTCAGTTTACTATACATATACACAGTAGTAAAACCAGCCTGTTTAATACAAAGGGTCAGAGAGGTCAGAGAGTTTTTTGATGAAAGAAACCTTATATAATTTAATTGTGCTTTAACTGTGAAATAAATAACATGCTACAAAAGTGTAAGAAATAAGTGGAACCTGCACACTTTTATTTATTAAAGATATCCAGGCCAGATCACAGTCAGTTACTTGAATTGATATGTATATATGATTTTTTACGAGTATAAAATAAAATTGTCCTGCTGCCATGATGTTCCGAGCCCCAGCAGCTTTCATGAGTGAGTCCAGTCCACTTGGCAGGGGGTACGGAAATATCCAGAATATTTCAACAGAAATACTGAGCTGGCAGTCAAACCTCACAACCTGGAAGTCATTAAACAATCAGAGTGCTACGTCTGCCATCAATTAGGAACAACAGGCTGTGAAGGGAGTCGATTTGGCTTGCCTCGGCATTTCACTCGTAGCCTCTGTGGTTGCTTGACCTGTCCATTCTCTGGATGCTCAGTAGACTGTCTAGCCAATGTAAAATCTGGGTCCAGAAGCAAAAGCTGGTGTTTTCATATATTTTAATACCATATAACTTGTGAGGTACCCCCTTCATAAAACCATGTAAAATACTTACTGTACTTACACTGTGTGAAAAAACATGGTGTGGTATTATAAAGACATGTTGTTTCTTAATGAAGTATTTCAAATATACTTTTAATATATATATTTCATCTTTACTTTTTTTTGTCAATGTACTAAAGACAAAGCAAAATGTTAAAATAATATAGTATAGTATTTATTTTTGTTACTTTTCCACTCACTATTAGAGTAGATGTACTGTATAAACTTATGGATAAAGTTTAATAATAAGATTTAGATTCAATTAAGCAACATGTAAAAAAATATAAATCAAATAAAAATAAATATTGCATTAAAGAAATCTTAAACATCTAACATTAAACATTTCTTTTCTGGCAAATTTTCCATGGACCCCCCAATTACCCCTCCTTTTCAAGTACAAACAAACAGTATTAGGTTTATATTACACTGTTCACTCTATGAAAAACTGTATGTACTGTCTTTTACAGAGTGCCCTGTGGGACAGTTTGGAGTTGGATGTTCACAATCTTGTGACTGTAATGGAGCTCCATGCGACTCAGTGACTGGAAAGTGCCACTGTCCCGCTGGGCAGACAGGAGAACACTGTGAAAAAGGTACAAAAAACAGCACTGGACATCAAGGAGTACTGCAAAAAAACAACAAAAAAAAACAAAGACCGAGAGTTGTAGAATGCTATCAAATAGTTAAGAGAGAGTTTGCTAGTGAACCATCATATTCACTTATTCCAAATTGATCTGGAATCGCATTTACATTGTGTTTCATCTGAACCAAATTAAACACGCTGACCTCTGCTTTCTCTCCTGGCTCTGCACATGTTTAAAAGAGAGGAAAATTGTTTTGCCATTAATGACTTTTCATTCTGTTCTGTTTTGGAGTGGACAGGGTAGTTTAGAGAGGAGAAATTGCAGTGATTTTGGAGGTCTATTATTAGCCACATTTTGCTGAGCCAAAGATCACAGACATAACCGTGGTAATATATCACGGGCCAATCCATTAGAGGAGTTCTCTCTCAAATACAAAAAGTCATAATGAGCCACAGTGCAGAAGGAGAGGAGCGAAGCCATGCCATAGAGCTAGTTGACAAGCTAGAGACGACTATTAGCTGTTAATGGAACAGTCAGTGGCTTCCAGCTGAGAGTGTGTGTGTTTAAATGTGAGGTGTGCTGTGATGCTGTCAGGACTCCGATGTTGACAAGTATTAATAAGATAAAATTATGAAAAGTAAAAAATGCTTTGGTAAATCATAATTATGAGATAGAAAGTCGAAATTATGATATACTTAACCATAATTATGGAATAAAATGTTTAAATGATAACATGCTGTCATAATTATGAGATGAAAACTAAATTATGATATGTCAAATATGAGATAAAAATATAGTAAAAATTATGACAAAAAGTCATAACTATGAGATATACCCCCGGTTTCACAGACAAGGCTTAAGCCTAGTCCTAGACTAAAATGTAAGTCTGAGCTGTTTCAAATGAAAGAAACTTGCACTGAGTGATCTTAAAATATATCAGTGCCTTTGTTTTGTCTCAAGATGCACACCAGGAATGTTTTTTTCTAAGGCACGTTTATAAAAATGACTTAAATGTCCTAATTGAACTATGGCCTAATCCTGGCTTAGGCTAAGCCCTGTCTATGAAACCGGGCCATAGTCAACATTATGACATAAAAAGTTTAAATTATGAGAGAGTTTTGACATTAAAAGTGACTTTTCATGTCATAATGACTCTTTATCTCATAAATTTGGCTTAATATGCCAGAATTTCATTGTTTTATCTCATAATTATGACTTTAATAAAATGTACTATTTTTTTTAGTATCCCTTTATGAATTAACTTCTATAAGTTTTTTTTTTTTAATGTTCAGAGTGTGAAGAGGGCCGTTGGGGGCTGGGATGTGCAGAACTATGCCCTTCCTGTGATAATGGTGGATTGTGTGATCGGCAAAACGGCACCTGTATTTGTCCACCAGGATACATGGGAAATCTCTGTGAGAATGGTAAGATTTAATATTTAATTTTCATAATCTTAATGTATCATCAGACCTCTGTTCAAACCAGACATCTGTCATGAGTTTAGAGTTTTGTGTCACACATAAGAGAAAACATCTGTTGCATATTTGTGTTTTTCAAATGTCACCTTTACTCAGATTTAAATTTTATTTCTAACAGTCTGCCCATTTGGGCACTTTGGCCTCAGCTGTCAGTTGCGCTGCACCTGTGAAAACAGTGGGCATTGCCACCACGTGACAGGTCTCTGTGCTTGCAAAGACGGCTGGATGGGACCCAACTGCGCAAAAGGTAAGGGCACACTTAGAATTCACACTTCATTTAGATTTAGTTGTTTGTCTAGGACCTAAAGCAAACCTATAAGCGATAGAAAGCGTACTAGATATGAGACAGCCATTCAGTGATCATGTCAATGAGACTGTATGGATATCATGGATGCCTCTTTGACATCTAGCACTATTACACATTGCTTTAGGCTCAGCTTTTACCAGATTTGTTACTTCTCAGCCATGTAACATAAGACTGTGCTGTCCTGTAGGACCGGCTGACCTTTGCTGCTCACATTGTGGCAACTGTCCAGTCTTGCCTCTCCATGCCCCATAAAATAACAAAATCCAGACCGTCATGCATTGCCACTACACACACTTTTGTACTTTTGTACCTCACCCGTTGCTGGTCAGCATGCATCTGTTATGTATATCTATGTATATTTTTAATGCAGCAACTTGAGTTCACCCAAAATGAAGATCCAAGTAATGGCTTTTCACTGTTCTCTGCATTGGCTTACTTGTTTAAGAGCTCATTACCTACAATTCAGCCTGTACTTTAATAGATGTTACATCACATCCAGTCAAACAGTCACATACTTATCTCAGTGTAGACAAAGCTCAAGTAGAATCACTGCTCCCATCAATGCAAAAATAATTTTCATCTTTTATTCATGGTAATCAGTCTCCAGTAAATAAATACACATTTGAGAAACAAAAAATGAGTTTAAAAATTCTAAATATAAAAAAAATGAAAAATAATTTTATTATTATTATATAAATATATTTCTTATTCCAGTGGCAAATTGTTTTTGGCATGTCTTTTATATTTAATAATAATAATAATAATAATAGTAATAAATATTTATTTATTTTTAATCTAAAAGTCTTCATAATTTAATGAGTTTGTAATTAAAACAAGTCTTTTAAACAAGATCTAATTATATCAATTATTTTCAGCATTTAATAATTGTAATCAGCATTTTTGTCCTTTTTGTAAATAAATACACTTGAGAAGCAAAATTGCAAAATATAATTAGATATTTATTTCAAATAATACACACACTTGTATTTTTAGCTTGGGTTTTGAATTTTTTGTAAAAAAAAAAAATGTATATTTATATTTTATATCTTTTTAATCTAAAAGAAGTGAAAAGTTAGCTTATGACTTTGCCTTATTTATTTCTGAGTGCCTATCTCACCATACATTCCACCCAAACCATTGCAATCACCTGCATCAGGTTTCTGGGCATAAATGATCCTTGCCCTCAGTGGATCCACTACATGCAGTTTGTTGCCCAAAAATCTGCCAGGAAAACCTAAAATAAATGAGTTGACTGCTTTAATAAATCTGGTTCTTTTACTTCACTCATAATGTGATCTCAGTGGTAGAGTGGGAATTAATTATTTGATGTAATGGGGCATGTATATTCTGTGGCAGCTTGTGAGGCGGGACTCTGGGGGCCAAACTGTGCCAGCCAGTGTGACTGCAGGAGCAGCGTGGGCAGCTGTGACCCTATGACTGGGCAGTGCCATTGTGAAGCAGGCTACACGGGACCACGCTGTGATCAAAGTATGAGCAACCATTGCTATTTCTAGGGAACAGAAATCTAGCTTTTTCTGATGTTTTCAATGTGTTTTCTAGAGTGTCCAGAGGGTTTCTTCGGCCAGGGCTGCCGTCACAGATGCCAGTGTGAGAATAAAGCAGCGTGCGAGCATGTGAGCGGTGCCTGTACTTGTTTACCAGGCTGGACTGGAACGTACTGTGAAAAACGTAGGGGAGGAGAAGGGGTGAAGTTGGCTATGTGGTATAATATCACTAAAACTAGTCCAATTAACATATTTAAGTGTATATATGTATCTTCAACAGCCTGTCCGGAGGGTTTTCATGGTTTCGAATGCCAGCAGAAGTGCCAGTGCTTAAATGGTGGTTGTTGTCACCCCGTGACTGGAGGCTGCCAGTGTCCATCTGGTTGGGTCGGGCCCCTTTGCAACACCAGTGAGTCATTTTACTGTGGTCAACATCCCATGACAATAAATGGAAACAAGAAGCATGTTCAAAGCATTCCCTCTGTCTTTCGTGTAAGGTAAAATAAAGCAATAAAACACATGCCCTGGGTTTGTGTGTCCATGGATCGGCACACTTTGCAGTAACGAATGCTGGCACAGCCTCATCCTGATGTCTGCCTTTGATGTGGAAACCTGGTAGCATTGTATTTCAGAATGTGTTGTAGTTTCTTGTTTATAGAGTTTCATATTTGTCTGTATCTATATCTGTCTTGCCATAGCATGTGAAGCTGGCACCTATGGCCCTGGCTGCAGTCAAACCTGTAACTGCCACAATAATGCCACCTGTGACCCTGCTGATGGAAAATGTGAGTGTGGAGCAGGATGGACAGGGAGCAGCTGTGAACAAGGTAGTGTTTTTAACTGTCCTCACGCAATCCTGAAGAGATGCATACTTCCTTTAATCAAAAACATGCAGAGATTTTTTTTTTATATATCTGTTGAACATGTTACTTTTGTAGAAATAATTATATATACTGTGTGTATATATATATATATATATATATATATACTGTATATATATATATAACATGTTATTTTACAGATACTATATAGAGCTCAACAGAATAAAACAGATTCCAGGCATCTAAAGCTGAATTATTTAAAACTTAATATAGCTTCATAAAAAATGGGGTAAGACCAAGAAGCGCCAAAACAAAAAATCATCCTCATCATCATTATTATTATTATTAATAACACACACATAGAGATATATAGTTTGCACTTTATTTTACAGTATGTGTATTTACAGTGTACTTACCCAAGAAAGTACTGGTAGTATAAGGTAACTACATGGCTTAAGCTAGGTTTAGGGGTAGGTTCAGGGTTAGTACCTATTTACAACCCAGTTATTGTAATTGCTATAATAAGTACATCGTATGGACACGTGGAACAGGACTGTAAAATAAAGTTATTCCTATGTGTATTTTTTCAGTGTCTTGTCTTGAACACATTTTTGAGGTACTGTGTTAAGTTTAGAACAGATAAGCTTTTCTGTATTTTTTGGAATCGGTTTCATTCTGTTGTGTTATATATAGCTGTTTATAAACATAACAGTTATACAAATAACATGTTATTTTTGTATATTTATTTGTACTGAAGTAACATTAAATTGATATCCCTAGAAAAATAAAAGAAAAACGGTATGTTTATTATTATTATGAATAATAACAACAATAATAAATAATAATAATAAATGTACAAATATATTAATATATGAAATAAATTTGATTAGGCATTCCATTTTGTAATTATTTTAATAAAATTTGATTGACAGCTCTCATATCAGAAACATGCTCAACTGAAAGTTCACATGAAAGAAATGATCTTTGTCTGTTTTTTTTTTTCTCTCCCCAGAATGCCCAGCTGGCTTCTATGGTGTGGGCTGCCACCAGCACTGCTTGTGCCAGAATGGAGGGTCATGTGACCGAATCAGTGGGCAATGCACATGTCTAAGTGGATGGACTGGAGTGGCCTGTGAACAGGGTTAGACATAAACCAGACATTTTTGATACACAACAATGTTTACAGTAATTCATATAACAGTGAAAATATGTAAACATTTTCAGCTGCCAAATTGGCGATTTTGTTTTTCAAACATCTCGTTCCTGTGTTTTATGTTCAGAATGTGCTCTGGGACACTTCGGCATCGACTGTCAACACAAGTGTGAGTGTGAGAATGGCGGAGTGTGTGACCGACAGAATGGCAGGTGCTTCTGTCCAGCAGGCTGGAAGGGCTCACACTGTGAGATGGGTAAAAAGCATCATAGTGCCTCAGTTGTCTTCATAATGTCTGCTTAAAAACTGACCACAAAGAAGAATATGCATTCTCATTCTGTGTGTTTTGATCAGCATGTACTCAAGGTTTATATGGTCCAGGCTGTAAGCAGCAGTGCAGGTGTGATCATAACGCCCCATGTCACCACATCACTGGCACCTGTGTGTGTCCTACAGGCTGGAGAGGGTTGCACTGCGAGAAAAGTAATTTTCCCAAATGGCTATCTTGTTTTTATCTGTCAGATTGCCCCATGCTGGCAGATCCAGCATACTGTGTCTGTAACTCATTTGTGCTCTTTCAGTTTGTTTACCCGGTTCATACGGGAAGCGATGCGCTCAGCGATGCAACTGTCCTCGTGGCACTTCCTGTAACCATGTGACCGGGGAGTGTGGCTGCCCACCTGGATTTGCTGGTAACGGCTGTGAGCGAAGTGAGTGATTATCTTCTGATCTCATTACACTTATGTTGGAAATGTGTTTGACAGCATATCAGTTGTTAAACACTAATCCTGCTGTCCTGGCTCTCAAAGGTTGTTTTGTTCCTCTGCTCTGCAGTGTGTCAGTCAGGTATGTTTGGACTGAAATGTAATCAGGTGTGCCAGTGCTCTGAGGTTAATCAGCTCTGTCACCCCGTCACTGGTGTCTGCTACTGTGCTCCAGGATATCACGGCAGCAAGTGTGATACAGGTGTGCCCTTCATGATCTCACCTTCTTTCATCTTAATAAGTCCTATGTATATACTGAGATGAACAGTAAGGATTCAATATGTAACAATATGGCTATATGGAAAAAAATATATAAATTCTTTTCCGAATACACCAGACAGGTAAAATATGCTTTTATGTATTTTTATACAGGCACTATTGTGTCACCGGTGTTGATTTTTATTAAAACAAATGGCTTTACAAAGAGGTTAACATTGGTTAACATTAACTAAGATTAATAAAAGCTTTTAGAAGTATTTTTCATTGATAGTTCATGTTAATTTCAACATTTACTGATACATTATTAAAATCAAAAGTTGTATGTTAATATTATTTAATGGACCTGAGCTATCATGAACTAACAATGAACAGTCGTATTTTTATTAACTAATGTCAGCAAAGATTAATAAATACTGTAACAAACGTATTGCTCATTGAGAGGTAATGCAAGTTAATGCATTAAACACCATTAACTAATGGAACCTTATTGTAATTTGTTACCAAACTAACAGATTTAAACTTTTTTCATTTATTCTTATGTCATATTAAAAACTTTTTTTTACATACATACTTTTTAATAATTTTTTTATTCACATTTTTTTCAAACACCTTTAATATATAGATTTTGTTTTATCTTTGGCCTAGATTATGAAATCAAAAATTATTAAATTAATTACATCTTTAAAAAACCTACACAATTCACTCAATTAATATGTGGCATCATTGCCATCACAAATACAACTTTATTGTGTGTAATTTCCAATCAATCTGTAATTGTCAAATTATGCATGTTACTCAATTATAAGTATTTAGGATATAAAAGCTATGAAGTTAGTTTTTAGCAAGACAGGAAAAATGTTTAAAAGTCATTTGTATTAGTGGCCAAAATGCCCATTGTTGAAGAAACATTCACATGCTGTGAAGTTTTAAAGATGTAAATCGTTATTACTACATAGATTACTGCATAGATGTTGTACCCATGATGCCTTGTTGTTTTAGAGTGTGTGGTAGGCCGTTATGGTCCCAACTGTGATCAGGAGTGCCAGTGTCTGAATAAAGGAGTGTGCAAGACCAGCACTGGTACCTGTACCTGCCCACCGGGATTCATTGGACCAAACTGCAATATCAGTCAGTCACACTTTTACAATTTTTAATCATTGTTCTTTAACAAATTTTGTCTCATTTCCAGATTTTTTTTTAGAAAAGGTAAGTGTAACAGACAGTTAGTGTAACTAACAGACTGCTCTCTCTCTAAAGCCTGTCCATCAGGGCGTTACGGGCAAGACTGTGCACGAGTGGCTTTGTGTGGTGAAGGGGCCAGGAGTGATCCGGTCACAGGCAGATGCGTGTGCAAAGCGGGCCAGCGAGGGGAAGACTGTGGGAAAGGTCTGACTGTATTCCTGATAAAAGTAATGTTGAAGGGATTGACTAATGTTTTGCTGAGTTTGTATGAAATAAGCCGATGAAGAGTAATTGTGTCTCAGGTTGTCCTAGGGGCTGGATTGGCGAGGACTGTGCTCAGCGCTGTGACTGCAGTAATGGAGGACTGTGTGACGCGGTTACAGGAAACTGCACCTGTGGACTGGGCTGGACAGGAAACAGCTGTGATAGAGGTCAGCTGATTGTGCACAGTTCACCCGAACATAGAAATTCTGCTAATGCAGCTTTTATCAATACAATGAAAACACAGTGTGACTAAGGATGCACCGATATAAAAAATTCAAGCCAATATTGATAAGCCAAAAATAATTTTTAGACAAAATGTAAAATTCTAAAATAAATGAAATAATTTATTGATAAAATATTTTTATAATATAAAAATAATATATATATATGTAGTTTATTAAAATAAATTAATGAAATACTATAATACTACTATAATATATACAGTATATATATAATACTATAATATATAATAGAATTTTATTCTATGAAAAACTATTTTCTCTAAATAAATGTTAAAATGAATTTAGAAATGTTACATTATGAAAAATGGAAATAATAGATGATTAAATTCTGTTTAAATGTGTTGTTGTGTTGATCAGAGTGTCCCAGAGGCCGGTATGGGGCTGACTGCAAGGAAGTATGTGATTGTAAAAATAATGGCACCTGTGACAGAGTGATGGGCGAGTGTCACTGTCCTCCTGGGTACTACGGACACCTCTGTGAACATGGTGAGAAAACGCAGCATCTGTTTCATCTAATTTTGCATCCTGACCAGTTTAGTCCATTTTGTAATGATTCTGATTCAGGTGTTTTTTTTTAATCAAAAGCATGCCCTATTGGTTTCCATGGACATCGCTGCCAGCTTTTGTGTGACTGCCGTGCCAATGCACCTTGTGACTCTGCAACTGGCCGCTGCCTCTGTCCTCCAGGTTATCAAGGACTCCGCTGTGATAGAGGTGCAGAGGATATCAGTGTTTTATCATCAATGTCTTTATAACAATGCTTTGAATAGAAAGTTTTACAAATCTTTTGCAAATGTCTTAGCTCACTTTGCATTTGTTTGAAATATTAGAATTTTGTAAATGTCTTTACTGTCACTTTCAGTCAAATATATGCATCCTTGCTGAGTAAAAGTATTGATTTTTTTTTAATGATAAATGATAGTCTATATCTATACATCTGAATGCATCTGTAGTATGTATATATATGCATACATATATCTGTACATGTACGCATGTATATATGCACACATTTATTGCATCTGAATATTATGTAAACTGTATGTTTATGTTTCAGAGTGTGATCCAGGCAAATTTGGGCCTAATTGTGTCCACATATGTGACTGTGACAGAGACACACCATGTGACCCTGTCAGTGGCAGGTGTCTGTGTGCACCTGGGAAAATGGGATCTCGCTGTGATATAGGTAAGCCTTCCACCGAATTTGTCTCACTTGATTTTTTTCTTTAGTCATTTAGTCAAAAATGTCTTCTTGCATTCCCATCAGACTGTGGAGTGAATCGATTTGGACCTGATTGCTCAGAGAGATGCGAGTGTCACAACGGAGGTCAATGCAATCCACGCAATGGACGATGCACCTGTCTCAACAGCTGGGTCGGACCGAGCTGTCAAGAGGGTAATTTCACTGGTAATTCACAATAACCTTCACTTTTTACAGCAATCTCAAATAACAACTTTCCTGTGTAATGTTTTTTTTATAACAGGGCTCATGTCTAGTCAGAATACTAGCAGAAGCAAAAGGAAGGACTCATCAGTATAGCAATCTCACGGTTTCTTATCCAGTTCAGTAACAGACACAGACAGTTTCACTGACTGTAAACTGACCTGGCTTGAATTTGTGAGTGGACTCTTGGCTAAAATTGAAGCCTTGTAGCATTTATTTTTTTTAGATCTTTGAACACAAAAGTCCACCAAACCGTCAGATGACTCTAACAAGGACAAACTTCCAAGGTGGAGACTTCCATTATTTAGTCAATAAATGATATACTTTCTTGTGGAAAAGTGGACAACATGAAGTCCAACATGGAGAAGGCTATTCATATTGAAGTTCCTCCTGGATGAGGACAAATTCAAAGAGTTTTTTCAGCATCAGTTCTGCTCAGGGAGATTGAACTTCCTGATGACTTCAGTTTAACTCTAATCAAGAAAAGCATCAAATCAAGGCCTTCGCTTCACCTGAAATTGAAGTGAATCCCATTGTCACTGTGATCTTAAACAGGGCTTAAAGGGATAGTGCACCCAAAAATCAGACTTCTGCTATCATTTATATAACCTCATTTTATGGTTTTGTATCCATTTAACCCCAGGTTTTGTCTTGAGTGTGGATATTTGGAATTGTTATAAGAGACTTTGAGTATCTTACATCATTCATGATGAACGTTGTCAATTTCTTTAACATTTAAGTAGAATTTTGCACAAAATTTAGCAAATTTGTTACTACGGTGTATAATATTTAGGCGTTGATGTATGTTGTCCATATTTCAAGTAATACAAAAAATATGAAACTGGAGTAAATTTTTACCTGTGTTCTGTATGAATGTATGTTTTATGTGTGAATTCTTGTGTACAATTTTATTTTAAAGAAAACTGTACTGTAAACCTTATAATCACTATGATTCCTGTTATACTGAACCAGTGTTTTGTCCTTTTAGGGTTTTTGCTACAGATTTATTTTTGTACAGGACCTTCTCCACATTATGCATTTGTGAAGTGTGATTTGCATTCTCATTGCAGACTATGAACTCAAAGAAAATGTATATTTCAATATTTCTGCAGCTAAGCCACGACCAAAGATAGCACTTAAAACCTTTTTTTGAGCAACCATGGTTGATGCTTTTTCTTTGTTTTGTAATGGTTGGTTTTCTGGAAGCTTACAAATGTTTTATTCATGATTCAACGTCTCTAAGGGGTATAGAAATAGGCGTTGAATTTTTAAAGAATGTTTTTGGTAACTGCAGTTCAAGAATTATTGAGATATTTCATATGCTGTTCTGTGTGCACTCTTAAGATGTTTAATGGGCAGAAATAATCACAAGAATACTGACATTACTTTGCCATTTGCACATGATTGAACTATAATTCTTTAGATTTACAAAAAACAAAAAAGTCTTTGCTTTTTTTCTGTTTTCCAGAACAAAATACTGTTTGTTTTATTAAAAATAATAATAAATTATTGGCACCCTGTAATGCTCTAAAATAATTTACAATAGATTTTTAAGAGAACAAAAAGGTATATCATACATATTACACATTTACACATATTTTGGACACTTAACCAATAAATAAATGTATTCCCTTTGTGGTCTTTAGACACATAAAACACAAAGACTAAATTAAAGAAGTTTAGAATAATTTATTTTCAGTTGTTTGAAGCTCTACATATTTTTTTTTCAAGCACAATGTTATAAGCAATAATTGCCAATGAAAAAATAAATGAAGGCAAATGTGATAATGGTCAATAAGACCAGTATAGTATATATTTAGATTATATACATGTTATCAAACCATTCCATTATGTATCTACAGAAATCAATCAACTTAATGCATATCTGTAACAGTAATGGTCATATTACAGTTAACAAATGTCAGAATTATAGGTTATACCAAAAAACAGTATTCTTATCAAATCAGCTTCAAAACATCAGATTTCCTGTACATACATTTACTCCTGTTGACAATATTGGACTATTTTTTAAATAATTTTACAGCAAAGTATTCAACTTAGGCTCCTTCTTCAACAACCTCTGTCCTTGCAGGGGAGGAGGGGGACTGTACACCAACAATTTCTCATTCAATGATGTTTATCCTCCACATGACTAAACTGGTAAAACTGGTTCAATTTTACCATCTAATTACTGACAACATATTATGACTTCCTGAGCGAAAGCAAACCACTAACATCTTAAACGATAGATGCAGCCTGACTCAACATACAACTGACAAATATAAGGACATTTACGATTACCCTCAGCTAAAGGCAACTGAAGTAACGCCTTCCACTTCTATCAGATCCTGTGGTCTTTGGTTAAAGTGCTACTTCAAAAAGCCTTACGAATATTATTAATAATCTCTCTGCTTTTTTTCTTGTTAAACAGTATGTTTGACGCATTTCCTCTCCTAAGACAAGATGTAGCTCAGACAACAATCAAAACCCTTATAATACGCATTACATTCCAACTACAGGTCAACACTTTTATACCCAGCCAAGCATAAGCATTGTTCTACACTAAAATAATAGGCCATTCTTAAAATTCATTACTATGTACACGCAGCCAACTGTATTGCAACTCTTTAAAGATGTTAATACATAAATTCAGTAAAAAGTCCATTCATATTGAAATGAGTGTCAGAATATTTTGAACTGCCTTGACATGTTGTGAATTTATTTTGGCATTTATTTTAAAGTTAATAACTATGATCACATATAAATTACTCCATAAAGCCTCTGTCACTCCCACCAGGTTATGCTCTCCATTCACCACTGATGGTTTTAAAAAGCCATAATGAATACACATACTGGTACAGATGAAACGTGCTAAACAAATGGTTGCCAGCACTGAATATTTTGCATTAGTACTAAATAAGGAATATAATCTAGTAATTCCCAGACAGCAAATTAACACTGTCCTAATCACTGGTTTATTAGTTTGAAAATGTCCAAGATATGATTTACCACTTTTATAGACACATCTGGAATAATGTTTCATGGAAAACACATGGAAAATAACTTGCACTAAGACGAAAATATTCACTGCCTTGCAAATAGTATTGTAAATTATCATTAATCAAAAGCAACAGTTAATTTAAAGCCTTTTTCGAATGAGTAATGTAAAATTTAATGTAGTAGGCTAATTTGGAGCGAGCCAGTAGAGGGCGAAATAAAAATAAAAAATTCGTAGTTAAGACGCACACAACACACGAGGAGGACAACAAACATTAAACATGACAAGGTAAACTGACAAATAACAACAAATAGTAAAACAACTTAATGCCTTCAAAAAGACAGGCTTGTCTCAAAATGATTCTGAAAACTGAACATCTGTTAAAATAAATAAATAATAACAGAGATTTCCACATACATTGAAAACGACTTAAAGTACACAACATTCAGGCATAAAACATGAGTTCCAAATAACATTTTAAACAATGGGTCACGTGGTCAAACCTTGTACGCGTGGTTTGAAGGTAACAGCAGGGCAGATCCAGCACAGAAATTTCTTTGGTTTCAGCCCGACGAAGCGATGACAAATGAGCACACAGACCACCACTCAACTACTGTCTGTCTACACTGTATTAGGTCATTTACTTCTTAGAAAAGGTTTTAAAAGTAAAAAGAACAATGAGTTTACAAACACTTTCTGATATTGCACATTTGTTGAGGCCTGTTTTTGATTTTGACAGTCTTTATACAGTATTATATGTAACTCAGATGGCTTCCCCTTTCTATGTTTAGAACTAAAACACAGCCAGAATTGATATAGCTTGTAGTATAAATTAAGTCTTGTAAACAAGCACTAGATTGGCTAACAATTTTGATATAAAACCAGAGATGAGTAACATCAAATGCCCTATTTAGTTTGTTCAGTCATGTAACTTTCTGCATTCACCAAAGTGCTTCATCAGCTTCATTACTTTCTGTGAGCTTACGCAAATGTATTTGTTTTCCAACATGTAGGAAAAAAAGCAAGTGCCATGGCCAGATCTCATGCATTTCTAGAGTAAGTACAAATTCTGGATCTCTAATACTGCACTTCTTAGTGTTTACTACAAGGGGACAAAGGGGAAGAGGAAGCGAGCCGGTGGTTTCTTGGTGGTTGGAGCGGCGTTCTGCTTATTGAGCCGGCCTAGCTGATTTGTATGTGAGCATGCTTCCCTTCTGCCCGTGCGGTTCTTGGCCTCCTCTCAGGCTAATGTCGGCAGACTTCATGTAGTGTGTGAGTTGGCTTCTCCTGCAGGACCTGTGACAGTGCTGGTCCCATGAGCCAATGTTTTTTTCAGTCAAGCTCAGAGAAAGTAGCAGGTCGACCCAGTGTCACTGGCTTTCCTTTTAAGACCGGTAGTCCTTTTTACTGTAGGGCTTGTTGCCTAGGATACTGTCCACTTCATGTATAATTGATGATGATAATTTTGGAAGAACCTGGAAGAATGTTGGGCTGAAATTTAATGTGTTTTTCAACTTTACAAATTCATTAACAACAAGCACCTAATATGTTTTTTATGTTACCTTTTCCATTTTTGCAGTTTTATAATTGATTTAATGTTGGCTGAAAAGATTATAATGGGCTGTTTAATGTCAGGTTGTATATTGAGAATTTTCACCATATAGAAGGGCTGCATGATTAATCTGCTTGCTATGTGTTTATTTGTACTCAAGCTGCTCATGATGACCCAGTGTTTTCAAAGTCTTGGAGTGGCACAATTAACAATAAATGCTTCGCACAAACTCATCTTTGTGTCTGCTCTGAGTTTGAGTCACTCATAATGTGCATTTGGGAATGCAACATGCATCAACCATCTTCCCAAACTTGTAATGACAAGCATTTATAACCCATCTGCTTTTAAGAGCTCCTTGAGGTTTACCGCCAAAATAAAAGCTTGATAGTTTAACGTTTAAAAATGAAGACATTTGTATATTCGTTGTACTGTAAAATAAAATCCTTATTATTACATTATTTTTAAATACTCAATTTTTTATTTTACAGTAATTCAATAGCTAGTACAACAGTGGTACAGTAAAATACATTTATTTTACAGTTATATTACAATAGTAATATTACTTTTTATTTAGTAATAATATTATTCATATTTTATAAATTATTTTATTATAATTACATTACGTATCCTATTGATTTAAATTTTTACCAAATTTCTACCCAAAATGTTTTATTTGTAACCACAAGTTGTATACAAAATTACTTAATGCTCATTTTCACAGCTTGTTACGTCACATTGTTCTTGTGCCATTGTCGTTTGGAAGAACCTCAGCATTTCATCTACTGTATTTCTGTTAACAGAATGAAAAACTTTGTTCATGTATGTATCCTGCTGTGAGTGGCTCACCTGAATGGCTCCTATGTTCTCCATCAGCTGTTCAGTGCTGGAGGCCCCCAGCAGCACACAGCTCACCCCCTCATTCCTCAGACACCACGCTAGAGACACAACAAAGCACAGATACTTCACATCTCTCTAAACACTCGAAACAGTCAACAGAAAGAGTAGAGTCTACTGTAAATGTGAAAGCCATTCGAAAACTCAACCAGAAATTCAGCCTCAGGTAAAAGAGCTAATTCTAGATATTAGA